TCAGCTTCTAAGAGATACTGAGTTGAATATGTTGCAAAAGTCTATGCATAGGATACATGATATGTGTGAGTGCACATTTTCAAGTACTATGACTAGGTTTTACATTCTTCATGTGTACGTCTCCTACATTATTAACTTGTTACATCCTAACACCCAGAAATTCATTTCAATCATCAATTAAGCACATGTCACATGTAAATCCAATGCTCTCATTTAAGTGTTACTTTTTTCTGGCACAATATTCATAGAAGATATGGGTATTTGCATTGTATAGGTTAAAAATGGAGAAAGTGAGAAGAGGTAGGAGGCAGGTATTAAGTTTAATGTTTCTATCCCCTAAGCAGCAGTCATCACTTATATGTTGACTGTCAAATCCTGGCTTTTCAGCCATGGCCATAGGTGATTTTTTTTGGACTGTAACATCATTGAAACCTGCTTTGTTTCTTTGTCCTTCTTTCCTCTTCTCCTCCCATCCCATCCACATATACATACCCCTTCCTGCCAATTCTATTTCATTTACCTGCAACAGACTCCTGAGTACTAGGATTATGGATATGTGCACCCACCCACAACTGCATTTATGAATTAACTTTTTTATTTAGTTTACATATCAACCACAGTTTTCTCTCCCTCCTCTTCTCTCTTTCCCTCCCCCAGCTTCCTTCTACCCACTTCCTGCCCAAGCCACTCCTCCTCTGTCTCCATAAAGTTTAAGCTGCTGGTAGGAGTTCAAACTTGTACAGGCACTGAGCACATCAGTATGGGGGGGGGTTCTCAGAAAATGGGACATTAATCTAACTCCAGACCCAATGATACAACTTTTGGGCATATTCCCAAAGAATGCACACTTATACCACAAGGACATTTGCCCAATTATGTTGACTGTAGCATTATTTGTAATAGCCAGAATCTGGAGACAGCTGTGTAGTTGTGTGTGTGTGTGTTTTATCAAAACCTCATTGCCATGACTGGTGGTAACTCTCCTTCCCATCCTACTACACCACAAAACAAATTTTTCTCCAACTATTTTTGTGGAAATTTACCTCTTTCTTAAAATTGTTACAGTCCCTTTGGATTCTTTGTGTTTCGTCTTACCTACAAATATTTCTGAGCAATTTGTTACTTCCATGACTCAAAAGCCAACAATATACTAGCAGCTTTCAACCTCTAGAAATGAGACTCTACAAGCCTCAGTTTCATAAGTAGGTTAATATGATAACATATTCCAAAGCCACATCACCCAAAGAATGTCCCAATATAGCATCTATGCTCTTTACTATTTCATAAAGGAATGCACCATTTCTCCATTGTCGAGACCCATGTCTTGTCTTCTAAAAGCCAGTTATCAAGCGCATAGGAGTACTTATCTGGATGACAAGTGTCATCTAGGATGATACTACCTGAGAGACACCTAACCATGTGATGCCGATATAATTTCTGGAATGGGAGCAAGGATGCATTGTGAATTCATCTCTTTGTCTTGATAGCCATATTTCAACATAACAGCATGTGATTACTCATTAAATACCGCAGGTATGAACATAACCATGATCATGGATTACACTAGTTTGTACCCAACTACCAACAAGACAATGATAATGTTTTTGTACTTTAGATGTGTACAAAGCAATTCTCTTTGAAATATCTCCTAAAGAGTCCTTCATGACTTTATTCATACTATGTTGGGTCCAATGGCTTTCTAATCCCAAGCATTTCCAATCCAGATGCATTCTTTAAATGTGGGTTAAATATATCCATCTTGTCCCTCTGTACCTTAAATATTGAATAACTCATTATTGCCTAGGATCATGTTCTCACTTGATAACATGCAAACAAGACTTTTTGTCACCTAATTTATAACAAACACATTGTTCCCTTGACACATGCTTTGAATTTTTGATACAAGATTTCAGCATTCCAAGAACATGATCTACCCTGTCAAATGCTGCATGAAATCCTTGTCCTCCATTTCTCCATGCAGCATAGTCCTGTTCACACTATAGGATTCATTTCAATCATTCCCTTTATAAGACATTTTGAAACTTCACTGATAGCTTAGAGTTCTCATATGACTGATTTATATCATCTCATAGGATGAATGTCTTTTATATGTACACTGAGATTTTTTAAAAAAGGATAACAACTTAGTATCAATGTATTGTGTGTTCTAGGGAAGTCATACTTTGTTACTATTGGTAAAATATTCAAATAAAATGTATGACTGGATTATAATATTAAACATGTCAACCTTTTTCTTGAACAATCTTTAATCTTCATGTGTGTTTGTGTGTGTGAGAGAGATAGAAAGTGTGATCTATAACACAAACCTTTTCCTTATCAATAATTTTATGCCAAATAAGTCAAGAAAACAGATTTTCCATGTCAATATAACACAATTTCAAAAGTTGAATAACAAAAGAGGCAGAAAATTCTTAAACTGCCATAGGTTCCTCTTTGTGTCAAAGTATTGGTTAAATATGAGAGCAAACAATGGCAGCAAGAACAAAACCTTTGTGCTTCCAAATATGGACTGTGGGAAACATGTGCAAAAAAAGCAGGATGAAGGACGCTCAGGCTATTAGAACAAAGCCTGTTCAATCCAAAAGGCTTCCACTGGTTACTCTTAATTCTGGCTCCTATGACATCTTCCTTCTAGATCATATTCTTATAATTATCAAATTCAATCTTGTTTCATGATAAAGACATGGTTTTTTGTTATCACTTTATAAAAACAGTAGAAAAATAATATTAAGATATTTTCCAAGTAAGGGAAATACCCACAAAATAGAATAAAATGCAAAAAATATCAGAAGAATTGTTTTATGTTAAAGTAACATATAAAGTAAGAGTGAATATGAGTTGAATGTACTGTTATTAAATTGAAAAGAAAGCACTAAGAACTAGGCATCATGGATATTTGGCCACAGCTATAGTGAGTATTCTTAAGATGTCACCCTGTTAAAAGAACGATTAAGAGATGAGACACACTGAATAAAAAGTCTCTGATTCATCACATCATTATTTGCTCTCATGATTTGATAGACTGATTAGATGACAGAATCTTACAGTGTAGCCTCAGAGGCTTTTTTGAGTTGGAAAGACTCATTTACTGCATTTTTTCTGCCTTTTTAGTTTTGCAGGAGTATTTTTCACGGCTAAAAAGAGCATCCCATAATTAATGCTTGGAACCCTGTCTATAGTTTTTATATATAAATTTACAACTGTGACAAGGGCTGACATATTCATCCACATTTATGATTCATTTACACCAAAATAAAACTTAATTTTGTTACAAAAAATTCAGTAAAATAAATTTTATCCATTAAGAAACAAACATTGAACTTCCTCACAAACAGAACACCTGTCATACACGTTTTTCAAAAAGACTCATGAAATGCATTTAGTGCTCGTAAACCCCTTCTGACATATTTAACATACTTCACTTATACTAAGTGTCAATCTACTGCATGGCTTTCAGGGTCATTATACTGTTGTTATAAGGCATGCTTCAGTACACTAACATACTAAGAGCACTCCAGGCATGGCCATTCAGCCTAGCAGGAGGCTTTGAAAAAAGACTGCAGAGTTTTGAACTCTGAGAGAATGAGGATATCTTTTAGAGAATCTGTCCCCTGTGGGGGGAAAAGGATCAGTGGGAGAGACAGCATTATTGGCTAGGATAAGAGGTAAAGAATGGTCTGGGCTCAAAAGTCGGCTTTATTCAAAAGACATATTGTCATTAGCAATTTCAAGTGTGGTGATGGTTTGTATTCCTGTCCCTGGAAGTGTTCAGAAGCCTGAGGGTACAGAATGAAACAAAAAGTGACAGGCTTATATGGAAGAAAATGAAAAGTTTGTTTAAGACCAAAGAAAGATTCCCGAAGAAGGTATTTATTAACTTAACAGCTCTTGCTCATAACTGATTTATGTCTCCTCAGGAAAATTCTTTCGGCAGAGGCAAATCCAGGAAGAATGCATACATTCAGACATCAAGAATTTGCCTCCAGTGCTGTCTCTAGTCTATAAAGTCCATAGGCAGTCAACTAAAAGCCCTGATGGAACAAAATGTAAATGTCTCAAGCAGTTAATGTGGTTAGTATAACTTACATAAAATGGCAATAATCACAACTAATTGGATATTTCATTAATATAACATTTTATATTTTAGTTATCTTTTCTTCATTTTTCTCTCAGAACTTACTCTAGATTAATGACATAGGAAGCATTTAATATAATAAGATATTACTGTATTTCAAACTCAGTTGTTCCAAACAAAAGACATGGTTGTTGCATATGTGGTGTGTATTTATAAAATTACAGAAATGATTTTGTTAGTGGTTAAGTTACTCTAGTGATTATTCAATTTTAACATGAGATTGTCTAATGTTACATGATAACATTTTCCCTCTGGGCATCAGGACAGTGAGCGGTCTTCCTGATGAGCAAAGGGGTCAGGACCGTGCTGGTAAAACCCACAAAGACAGCTGACTGGACAAGGGGTATCTCTGGAACCCCAGACTGATGGCTGAGAGGCCAACAGAGGACTGATCCAAACTCCATGAATGTAGTGTCAGTGAGAAGGCCTCAGAAATCTCTGGGACCTTGGGTAGTAGATTACTGTTCACCATGGCATACAAATGAACTTTAGAATCCCATTCCACATGAAGGGATGCTCTCTCATCCTGGAAACATGGGGAAGGGCCTAAGTCCTGCCCTGGATGAATTGACAGACTCTGGAGATCCCGCCAAGAGGGCTTCATCCTCCCTGGGAAAGATGTGGGTATTGGGCTAGTGATGGGGGTTGGGGGTGGGTCTGGGAGGGAGAAGCAGAGTGGGGTCTGGCATTGACATTTGAAGCATGCATGTTTCTAATTTAAATAAAAAATAAAAAATTACACATCTACAAAATGTGAACTCATCTTACAATTTTATCAATAATGGATGAAGACGGATTACTTCATGCATATAGATAGGGATCTTAAAAAATAAATGAATTTTACCTTACACACTCTCCCAACTCTTGAAAGAATGCTTCTGTCTGATGTACTGCCTTCCTGGGATGATTCCCGAAAGAAGAAATATATTTTATCATCATCTGGATTGTAGGTGTCTGGAATAGGGAATGTTCCAATAAATTTTGCTCCTGTTTGGGAAATAAACACCGTTATAAGTTAAAACAATAAAATAACCCAGCCAGAGTCATCTCTGGGACTTCAGTATATGAAACAACTAGCAAATGAGAGTCAAACTGAGAGTCAAATGTAGGAAACAAAATGTGCAGATAAACATGGTACAGTGTGGGCACTAGTATTAGCACAAAGAATGAATGAACAAGTACATGAGTAATTTCAGGAGTATGAAAGACAGTGAATGGGGTATATGACTGTCAGTAATTTCCACTAAATCAGTCACAGATCATGTAATCACAGGGATATATTCTAAAGAAATATATTGTTCAATGATTTCATCATAACTATGCAAATATGGTACATGAATATACTTGGCCAAGATGTCCCTAGGCAATGCAAACTAATGAGATTGCATTGTATATAGAGTATACGTGGTCTGTTGTTGACTAAATGAAGTGCAGAAGACTCACCTTGAAAGTCTTTTTCCTTCTAAAGATTGTATGATTTTGTGTCCTCTTTGTAATGAGACTACCTCTATGTAATAACCATGTGATTTTAACAAACTTAGGGAAACCTAACTGTCATTGCTTATGAAAGCTGTGATATTCTTTACTGTACTCTGTGAAATTCACCAGATGTGGGATGAAAATAACAAATACTGCCTATGTAGTTTTCAGCATATGCCCTAGAGATCCTCTTTCTGGGTTTATATTTTAAAGGTGATCTCAGGCAATTTTGTACACATGATCTTAGTCAAAAGTTCAAGACGTGAATTACAGGCCAGGGATTTTTTCACATAACATGAAGCTCCTAATGTTATTTGTCTAGTGGTATTGAATATTATCTAGTAGTGCCTGATGTTCAACAAATGTAAATTATAATTAACCCAGGTAGTACAAGCTTACAACATCAGGTATTCTGGAAGATCACAAGTATAAGGCATACACGGGGAGTTCAAGGTCTAACTCTTTGTAATTTAGTGAAATTCTCTCTCCAACATAGAAAACACACAAAGGACTGGAGATATCTCAGTGGTAGAGCAGATTTTTAATCTATTTAATTTATTTTAAATTTAAATTAGAAACAAGTTTGCTTCATATGTCAATCCCAGCTCCCTCTCCCTTCCCTCCTCCTCTGTCCCCCTTCAACCCTGCCCCAACACCCCTCCCAATCCCGACTCCACTCTCTGAGGGTGAGGCCCTTCATGAGGGATCTCCAAAGTCTGTCATATCATCTGGGGCAGGGTCTAAGCCCTCTCCCATGTGTCCAGGCTGAGACAGCATCCCTCCACGTGGAATGGGCTCCCAAAGTCCACCTGGATGCTGATGTATTGCCTGAGGCCCCAAAGAATGTTGAGACCTCCTCACTGATACCAACTTTCAGGGGGTCTAGATCAGTACCATGCTTGCCTCTCAACTATCAGTCTGGGGTCTATGAGCTCCCCTTATTTACATCAGCTGTTTCTGTGGGTTTCACCCTCCTAGTCTTAACCCCTTTGCTCATCATTCCTCCCTCTCTGCAACTGGGTTCCAGAAGTTCAGTTCAGTGTTTAGCTGTGGGTGGCTGAAGGATAGAGCAGATTTAAACATGCATTAAGTCTGGGTCCCATCATCAGCACCACAAAATCACAATGCAAGGAAAGGATCAATGTGATTTTATGAGGATGCAGGTTGTAAGGCTTATATTGTCAGGATTATGAGAACAATGACTGTGAAACCTAAGCATATTATGTACTAGCAGTAATGACATCAAATTATTCCAGTTAACAAATCCTGTCTTCCCTGCCCTAGAAAGGTATCCCTCACATACGGCCAGTGACCAAGTATTTGCAGCCCAAAAGGTAATACCCCTTTGCACCTCTTCCAAGTCAGATAAAATTTCTAATACCTGGTTTAGAAAGAATTGGGCAGTTCCAGTTGTTTCGTTTAACTGTAAGTCAGCCTGATAATAAGTCTGTAAAAAACAAAATACACACACACACACACACTCATGCTCACATACTCACATGTAGAAGCACATTGCACACACACATCTGTATATCAAGTAATGGGTAGCTCTCTTATCAGCCTAATCTTTCCTAACCAATCCTTTGTCTCCTGTCCAAGTTTTGTGTCCTGAGAAAAGAGAAGAGAGAAATGCCTGCACAAACTTCTCTTTACTCCTCATTATTTGCCAGTGAACTCTTATATTCTTCACAGTGCAGCTTTGATCAAGACCCAGAATATCACGTGAAAGTTATTTTTAGAAAAGCACACAAGTTAATGCTGGATAGGATATGGAGAAAGGGGAACACTTCTCTACTGCTGGTGGGAGTGCCAACTCATACAGTCACTTTGGACATCAGTATGGAGATTCCTCTGGAAAATAGGAATCAGTCTACCATAAGATCCATCAATTCCACTCTTAGGCATATAACCAAAGGATGCACATATATACAGAGGAAGACTGATCTCTATGAGTTCGAGGTCAGCCTGGTCTACTGGGGGAGTTTCAGGACAGTCAAGTTGTTACACAGAGAAACGCTTTTTCAAAAAAAAAAGTTGGTGGGGAGCATCAATGTGGAAAATGATGGCATTCCTATAAACACAGAACTGGGGATTGATGACATTCCATAGAATGCTTTAACGGTCTCTAATGCAATGCTGCCAAACTAGATAAAAATCTCCAGTTTATTTAGAGACATGAACACTAAAAGAAAACAACCCTTTATGAGATGTTTTTAATTATCTGGGTTCACAAGTAACTAACATGGATATGGCCACTCTGTAGATGGAGACAGAGAATATCTAGACCTATTAATAGTCCATGGCCAATGATGAAGATGTATGACCGAATGAGAGAGAGAACAAGGATTGAATAAATACTTAGTACTTAGGGTGAGCTCAAAGAGGCTAAGACAAATTATTTAGAAATCATTGGAGCATGATTGGCCCTTGTTGTTTAGATAAATACAGGATCTTAAAACAGAATTAGAGGGAACATAATATATAGTAGGACTGAAATGGAAAGCAGTAATCTCTTGAAATGTTACTATATTTTTTGGATCTATGAAACTGACATGAGCTTATTTCTTAATTTTAATTATCATTCTATTTCATTGTATTCTATTCTACTTTCTTATGTGCACGGGTGTTTTGCTAGCATGTCTATCTGTGTATCATTTACATGCATGCTGCACACAGAGATCAGAAAATGGCCTTGCATCACCTGGAACTGAAGTTATCTTTGATTGTAAACTACTTATTGTTCTCCTGCTAGGGTTTGAACACAGATCCTTTGGAAGAGCAGACAATTATCTTTATTGCTGTGCTCATTGCTGTAGCTCATTGACACAATTTATAATGAAAACTTAAAATCATGAGATATTTATACAGTTGTATAAAATTCACATTCTTGCCAGGTATGGTGGCATCATCTTTAATGCCTGTAATTAGTTATGGGATGTTGACAGTGGGGGTGGGAGAAGCAGGAGGATTTCTGCGAGTATGGGCCCAACTTGGATTATATAGGGAGTTTCAGGACAGACAGAGCTGCATAGTGAGACCCTGTGTCAAATCTAACCAAAACAAAAAAACAAAACAAAACAAAAAACCTAACCACGCAACGAACCACACAAACAAACAACAAAACCTGATAATTTACAATCCTTTCTGTAGAAAGATAATGAAGACTTCATCGTTTAAAACAGAAAATACCAAATAAAATGAAAACAAACTGAAAGGAGGAAATTGTGTATAAAATATCCTTCAAGCTGGGCATGGTTACTCAAACCTGTAGCAACAGTACTTTGAATGATGTTACAGGAGGACTGCTGTGAGTTCAAGACAATCTTAGCTCACATAGTAAGTGTAGGCAAGTGTGGCCTATAGAATAAGTCCCTATAGCAAAAAAAATAATTAATTTATTGATTTTATAAAATTTTTGTAGAGGAGCAGACAGGAAGGGGAAGAATGATTACCTAAAATGATTTGAGTCAGTTGATTGTTTATTTACAGAAACAAACTATGTAAAGAAGATTAGAACACAGAAGTTCTGAAGAAAGTACAGACCTCTAGGCAAAGGCACAGTGTAGAGATTTCATTAGGTCCAAGATAAATGATAAATGGGTGTTTATTGGGTAATCTTTACACAGATGATAATAAAGAACCATTGGAGCGCTTCTCTGCCCTTCCTATCAGATCGGCAAAACCAAGTCTCACAGGCAAACCATGACTACAATATGGGGCATGTTGAGGCTGTGCTGAAGGCATGCACAGGGCAACCTTTTCGAAAATGAAAACCAACATGTAGCTGCTTCCAGAGAGCACCCCCAGAAATGAGCAGCAAGTAAAGTGTAATAGCAGCCCATATTTCAGGAATTCGTATGACACCAATGGAAGCGATTATCAGAGCATTGCAAGCACTGAGCCTTATCTGAGAGGTAACATATAGCATGCAACATACATGACTTGGTGCTATTCAGTCGTTGTTGATTTTTATTGAGTTCTTAAATGTGGTTCTTTTATGAGTCTTGGAAGAAAATTGTTTTTGAAGGGAATGGTGGGAAAGTCTAAGCCAAATGTTTATTATATGAAGAAATCTAATTACAGAAAAGAAGAGTTAGTATCAAGTAGTACTCTGTTCTGTGATTTAAACAATAAACATGCTTGCAAGCTAAAAATAAATGCAAGTTTTGAGAACAAGGCATTGCTTTCTTGTAGATTACACTGAGGCTCTGTCTTATAGCACTATTGTTAGCATTTTATTATAGAAGTTCTTTCCTGATTTCCAGCCAAATTTGAATAAAAATAACTATCATTTAATTATTGCATGGTTGTTGAACTCAACAATTTAAAATCATTGCTATAGACACCTGGGCTTTATTATAGAACGACCCCCTCTTCTGGAACTTAAAACATATGTCCTAATAGGGACAGAGTTCGAAACTGTGTGTTTTCACAACTGAAATTCTAGCATGACACCACAAGGTACTGCCAACTGAAGACGACAAAAATTCATCATAGAGAACACAATA